GAAGAGGATTTTCATAAAATTTTTATTTTATATATGTATGTATGTATTAAAAAAAAAAAAAGATGAATTAATAATGTTCGAAATTGGAATTACGTCGTATGAAAAAAAAGGAAAATTTTAGGGAAAAATCGGAAAATTTCTCATTTAAAAATAAAAAAGTTATGATAGGAAAGTTATGATGAAAACTTTTTTTATACTTTTTTAAATCTATTGAATGAAATTAGTTCGTTAAAAAAAAAAAAAAAAAAAAATTAGTCGAACAAGCTGGTAGAAGAGATTTATAAAAATGAGAAAATTTAATTTTTATGTAAAATTTTGGGATGAAATTAAAAAGTTTTTTTTTTTTTTTTTTACTTTCGGGTTGAGAAAAATTTTTTTTTTTAACAAACAATATATAATTGACGTAATTTACGAAAGGTTATCCATCTTTTTCCTTTTTTTACCTTTTTGATTTAGGGAGGAAAAGAAGAAGAAAAAAAGTTTTTTATTTTTGCCAAACTTTCATTTCACGCATGCAAAAGTTAAATTCAAATTACATAATTTTACCTCGAAAATTTTTTTTTTTTGCGAAATGATTGTTTTCGTCGTCGTCGTCGTCTGCTTTAAAACAAAAACAAATATTTAAAATTCATATAATTCGACCCTTTAGAATAATTTTAAAAAATAAAAATATAAAAAAAAAGGAAAATTTTTTTTTGGTATGATAGCTAAAAAGGGAAACGTTCGGGTGAATGTTTCGAAGAAAGCAATAAAGTTGTTGTAAAAGGAATTACTTTTCAAAATGAAATTTGGCAAAAAGAAAAAAGAAAAAAAAATATTAGAAAGAGATAGAAAAAAAAAGAAAATGGCGGCGTCGGAAAATATGCAATTTTCATTTGAGTTTTTTTTTCGTTGACAAATTTTAAATTATTAAAACTTTTTTTTTTAATAATTTTCACAAAAATTAATTACGAATTAATTTCCTTTCGATTTACAAATGTAATATAATCCCCTTTAATTTTTTTAACGGGGGAAGGGAGGGGAGGGGAATGAGGCGTGTGAAATTTTTTGTTTTTCACAAATTTTCTTTTTTTTTTTTTTTTTTTTTGAAGTTTTAATAAATGAATTAAACGCCAGATTTGATGAAATTATTTTTAACTTAACGAATTTAATTTATTTTAACGGTAAAAAATTTTATTTGATTGATAATTTGTAATAATAATAATGATAATAAAAAAGAGGGGAGGTGGAGTGGCGGTGGAGAGGTAACACGTTATCAGAATAACGGTTTCGATTTTTAAATAGAAAATTAAATTTTTTTATTTTATAATATAAAAAAATTGAGCTGCCTTCCGGTACAAATGCATATAAAATAAAAAATCTAAATTTTAACTAATTCTAAAACCACGTCTTTTGTTTTTCTAAAAAAAAAAAAAAAACATAGAATCGGAAAATTGGTTTGCAATAAAAAAAAAAA